AGTTCAATCGACCGGACTTCTTTCTGCAGATGTGAGCGTCCTTAACAACGGTCAATAAGTGCTTGACAGCGGTCTTCACTACTGGATTAACAACGTGTCACGTGTTCTGAATTGACCAATCAGAATCGAGTATTCAACTAAACCATGTAATAAGGATAATTGAATACTGACGAGTGTAAACCTCATAATATGATTATTTTGAGTTCAGACTAGGTACCATGAAACTGCCTTGAATTGAACCAAAGGGGCTGGAAATGTCATTCAATTTTAAATGTATGTAAGATGTGTCTTTGTATGAAGGGTAGTGTCTCTTTTTTTGTGTTTCTTTTTGTTTTTGCACCTGTACTTCGGTGTAATTTGACCTTGAGAAGTGCACTTCTGTATGTTTGGAACTGTACACTGTATACATGTGTTATTTTGTACTGCAGCTGGTTTATAAAGCATTGAATGGTTTAGGTCGAAAATACATGTCTGATCTCCTGCTAAATGATGAACCATCCAGATCTCTCAGGTCTTCTGGTCTGCTTTCTGTCCCCAGAGTCAGAACTAAACATAGAGAAGTTCAGTTATTATGCTCCAAACATCTGGAAAAAACTCCCAGAAACCTGCAGGTCCGCTGCAACTCTGACTACTTTTAAATCCAGGCTGAAGACTTTTCTTTTTGACGCTGCTTTTAATTGAGCTATTTCTATCTTAAACTGCACTGTAACTTGTATTCATGTATTTTTTCTTTTAATGTTTATTTTATTATCTTTGCTTTTTAATGACTGTTTTTAAATGCCATTTTCTTAATGTCTTTCATGTTTGTAAAGCACTTTGAATTGCCTTTTGTTGAAAGGTGCTATATAAATAAACTTGCCTTGCCTTGCTTTGCCTTGCCTTGCCTTTGCATAAAATGTTACATTGTCCAAAAAAAGAAAAGAAAAAGGTAGCACAGGTCACAGGCAGCTGGTCAAAATCAATAACCAGCATTCCAGGTATAACACATGATACAAGTCTCTCTGTCTGTGTGAGTTTATCTGTCATAACTCATAATAATGTGGTATGCAAAATAATGTTGCAAATGTGAATGCAAATGGTTAATAATTTCTGCCATGAACTTTGCCAAGTGACTGCTTGATGCCCTCATGTCCTGGTCGTGTAATCCAACACCCGGACCAGAAGAACCACATTTCCCTAAAAGAAAGGAGGATCATGCTGCCGTGCTTTGTGGTGACCGTGATCAGGATTACGAGCACCTGTTTTATAGGGGCCTGAGTTTTTCTTTCTCACAACGCCTTGCTTTTATTCAAGTGTAAATTTGCGTGTGGGTTTATTGATGTTTCGGTGGAATGACTCATCACAATCCAAATGTGTGATTAATGCTTTCAGGTCAAATAATGGATATGGGAACCTTGGAAGTGCAAGCTTAACCCCCTAGTTAGAATCTGTATGTATTTCATTGCCCTGAAGTGATTTTAGGAGTAATGATAGAGTATGTTTATTGTGTTGGCTTGCTGTTCACTACAAAAACTTGAAATCTTGCCAAGTATATTTGGCTAATATCTAGTCAGAATATGTCTTGACACTTGCTATAAGACATTATAACTTAA